TAAAAAAGAATAAAGATGGTCATACAGCATATTTATGGCACATTATATGTCAACATTGAATATTGTAGGTTATACCAATTAAAATCATAGCATAAACTATCGTAGTATTTGCACATCAATTCTGTATTTATTTGATTGAGACTTTGTGCGATCGAATTGCACGTCGTTACAAATATTTCACACATATACGTACAATAATAATATACACATTTGTACGCATATCAAAGTACACTTTGAAACTCGTAAATTGATCTGTTCGTAATCCACCTGAGACATGTGGCTGCGCTGACCGTTTCGGGTCGAAATATAATATATATATATACATAATGCGTGGTATATACGAATGCCGGCCGATATAATATGCGTAGGTAGTGCCTATTCGGAGAAAATAAATTGGATTTTTGTTGTAAATAACGTGTGCGGCTAAAACAAAGCCAAAGTGCATATTATATATATATAATATGATATTGACATTTACGTCAATCGCAATATAGTGCACGCGTACCTATATATAATATAGGTACCATACCACGCTCGAGTCGCTCTCGCGGATTATCGATTTCTGCGTTGTGTGTCAATAACTTTGACACCGATGATGTATACTTTATGAATTACGGACTTTCGTACCATAGTATTGCAATTGCGCGGTAGCTCTATATGATAACACGAAGGTCGTTGTCATCGTCGCAATTCTAACGCAAATTAATAACGATATAATATTATTAAATGGATGCGTGATGCGTCAATGCGATCTCGCCATAAATACTAATGTTTATTTTTGAAGGTGTGTGTGTGTGTGAATCTGTTTTTTAATTACTGTTATTGATGTTWATAATGTAAACTGTATAGGGAAGACGACGGTAAGACGGGAGTAAAAAACACGCTTATGGAAAAAAAGCATGAAAAAAAAAAACCGGAAATCCGTATAATGCACTTTATTAATTTATAATAATATTATATATTTGTGCGAATGCAGTAATTTGCTACAAATAGCGTTTTGCTTTGGTATAGTATGATGTAGAAGGGGTGGCAGTAGTGTGAATCTACAACGGGACGATGAGGACTCGAAAGTTTCAAACAGCAAAAGTCTGTGGCGATGGCGGGCAATGTGGCGGGGAAAATGTTTAACAACAAAAGCCGTGCAATTACAACGTAAACACAACGAGAGACGAGACGCTGACGTAAAACAAACAGAGAGCGCGTCGTCCTCCCGGTGCGGTGTTTGTTATGTATATAGACGGTTAGGGCAGAGATCGCAAGTAGCTTATAATAACAATAATAATGATAATAACATCTACCGAGAATTATTACGGGCAAAGCTAATATTTGACGACGATGACGACGACAACGACGAATATATTACTTATATATACATACGTATATATATAATATGTGTTATCGTCGAAGCGAACATAATTGAGTTATTAAAATATGATGTCTTATAAAAGGTACAAAACACAATGCCGTAATAGGACATAATATTGCGATCTGTAATATATCATCATAAGTTATAACGTATACGTGCAATATAATGTACGGAAGCGAACGAGGCGCATAAACTATACGCGGAGCTCTTTCTGGCCAGATTCACCGTACTCTCTCACTCTCTCTCTCATTCTAACCGTCCCTTCAGCCCCACCGCCCCGACCGGACGTTAATTGAATCTTTTTTCGCTCACCCCTCCCCGCGCTCGCTGCAACCCTTCTCTTCYACGGGGTCATTGCCGCGCTGCAGCTATAATAATATATACGCGTATATATATTGTATACGGCGGCGGCGGCGGCTTTTCGTAATACATTATGGTTGTGTGCGTCCAGTTAGGAGCGTATATAATTAATCGACGGAATCGGCATTTGGCAGAGAGAGGTATAGATGGGGAGGATACAGGGAGAAGCAGACGGACTGAGTGAGACGGAGAGAGAAATCGAACGGGTTATATATATGGAACGGGGTAACCTACCATTAATCACGGGGCTGCTAGAGGTACGTCATCGACAGGGCCGGGCTATATATATATGTATACGATTACGATGAGGTGCGTAGTTGTGCGTGTGCAGTGTGTGTGTGCATGTGCGTRTATATACGGTTTATAWTACGCCACCGACGTCGTATTTAAAATATAAATCGAAGGGCGTGGAAATCACTTTGTCATTCGAACGTGCTGTAGTGTGTAATACACTTCTGCAGGGGCTGGCTGAGATCGCGAAATATAATTATACGCATTTACACGCATTTTGGTCGTCTGCGGGTCCTGGTAAACGACATGGAGATTTCGATGCGTATATTTTACATATAATATAATATGTTTATGAGGCATCTCGTCGGTGCTGGTGTCTTTCTCGGTGTATACTCTGGTTGATTATCGTAGCGTTATTATATTATTATTATTATTATACTGTCGTCACGCTGTATATAACGTACCTAATACATGATTTAATTGGCCGCACGTATACATATATATAATGATATGAAAACGTATATCTCTTATGGAATATATTTACGATTTTCACGGTTTAATTAATAATTCGTCGTCGTCGGATTTGGTGRAGACTAGCTGCGGTCAGTCGCGAGTTTTTTCCCATTTTTTTTTTTACACGGGTGGGCGGGCGTTTTAATTGACGGAGGGAAAAAAACGGAATATGAAGTGATTTTCTCATAGCCGCGACCGCGGTCGTAGTAGAATGTAATAATTATAGAGCGCCATGGTACGCGTGTGGCCGATTTCTTTTGTTTGGACGAGATTCGTTGTCGTCATGGTCAAGCGACGACACCGGGTCGGTCAACTTCACCGCTGCGAACACAACACGCGAAACTCCACGAGCGGAGAGAATAATTTAAAATATAGGAGGTACCTATTTTTACCCGTAGTGTATGCGGTAGTCGGCCACACCTACARCCACGTTAAGTCTTCGCACGTGACAAGCCTATATAACGTTATACATATAAGTATACGAGGCGAGAGCAAAATATTATTAGTATACTAAATAAACTAATTAATATAGGATACGGAGCAACAGTAGATAATTGGACTGTGCGAAATTGGTGTTTTGGAAAAAATAACCATCTGACCCATGGTAAATCTGTTGAAATTTCTCAAGAAGTTTATTATGTCCCGTTATAGTATTTATATTGKGTACGATATATCATAATATATATACAACATAACAGCCGTCTGAATAATATAATTTAAGTATACATTGCATGGACACACACCGTAAACGCGTTTTTAATCCGTCTAAACTATATAAATGAGGTATATATACACYAACTGGCAACTATATTATATTGTCAATCCTATTTCGGCTTGACGGATAGGCACCGTATTAAATTTTCAGAATGTCATTCTCTGGGCGGTAGCGGATGTCCCCTTTACAATAATATAATATATTATACATATAATATAAACACGAGCGTATATGGGGCCGATCGCGAGTAATCAATCTCTGCCGATCGCGCATGCCGTCATTTGACTACATATATACATAGTATACATCCTAACATTGTACACTTCGTATTAATATGTGCGTGTGCCAAGCTGCGTCCAATAGTCGTCCGACATTTGTCTGTGCCGAAGTGCGTGTTACGTATTCAATTGGCATGGAAAAACCTACACGACTATGTTCTCATATATATATATATATACGTTATGTATCGTTTATTTATCCCTAACACTTAGGTATATATATACCTAGCCTTTCGGATGGCGATTTATTTATTACGCGCGCAAATATATGTAGATATAGGCATATAGCTGCATGAGCGCCACCTATTGTATAATATGCACATCTTATGAATGCACGTTTACATTATATTACATGCAGCGAATACAGGTATAGACGTATAGGTACAATTCATGTATATGTATATATATATATATATATATATTTATCTTTCATTTCCCTATTTTCTCTATATTTTTACGCCTTTTGCAGCATTTGCCGGTTGTTTGTGCTGCATAACGCGTGTAAGGGTCGGTCTACGGAAAATCCACACGACCGACTGTGGGTCTGAAAACGTTCGAACGCCAAATAAAAAACAAAAGTATATTTATGCGGTTTTTATGCGGACCCAAAAACGTTATGCTAACGACGGGACCAAASGCGGACCAAACGCGGCCGACCGTCGGCTGTCTGCTCATTTCCATAACGGTATACCGGACCGCCCGATAGTGATAGATATTATAATATTGCACTGTAGGGAATCKGTTGTTCGTATATTATAGTTTTCCATTTGGTTAATTGCGTGCACCCTTGAGCCATTTCTCTCGATCGTCGCCGCCGTCGTCGTATCTTTGACACCGCCACCATAKAGCAACGACGTACATAATATACATAATACGCATATAAAACACAGTGGAAACGTCGTATATTTTGCATATATAGTATATAAGCAAAAAAAAAAAACAATTGATTTCGGATTCAGGTCACTCTTATTCTTTCTCTCTCTTTATCTGCCACCACTCGTTTATTATACCGATATATAGGCCGTAAATGATTATGCCAAGAGTAAAATTCGGGGGGCTGGCGGGTCGACTTTGGCCAAATCGATTTTCACTTCGTCTCCGGGGAACAAGCGCTACCCCCGCCACCCACCGTATAAACTGCATGTTTTATTAAACAGAAGCGTACACGGCTTTAGCCGTAAAGCAAAAACAGAAAAAATAAAAAAAATAGAAAGAAGAGAACAACGAGCGCAAAGGGTGTCTGGAAATATATTACGAGCCCCGCGGAGACTTYCGTAACCCTAAAAAAATAATAATAATAAAAAAAAGGGTCTTAGACCCACAAAAAGAGCCGTGTGATATGTTAGAGAAAAACGCGTCCACATATATATGTATACATAATATGAGTTCATAACGACCATTATCGGTTTGACCCCAGTCAGCCACAGCAATTTGTACGACATGGTTGTTTGAGAGAGGTCGTAGGAGTARTGTTATATGGAAGCAACTTATATTATAATGAGATTCCTAAAAAAAAAATCTAAATTGGTTCACTTACCGTGTGGGACCCATCCGTGACCACAAGCGTCGCAGAATCGTATGTGAAGTTTGCCGGGCGTAAAACAATCGCACACGCATCCCGGTACTGTACATCTGATGGCCTGCGAAAAAGTAAATCAATAATTTTTTTTTTTTATATCGTAAAAACAACAATCATATGCACGATTATATTATGAATTATGTTAKAACTATCAGCACACACGCTCACTCACCGTGAGAACGAGTGTATTAGACGMGGTGATTCGTTTTTTATATTTAATATCTATACATATACTATAGCCATACCACCACCGCGACAACAAAAGAATCGAAAAACAAACTGAGTTTCTTCACTAGCGTATTATCATTATTATTATATTATTTTTCTTTCTATCCGATTCGCCCTTTATTGTTCCAAACGTCAATCTGTCGTTTAATGAAGTCTCCCGAAGTCATTGTAATAGCACATACGCACATGGTAGATATACATGTGTACACGGCGGATCGGTTTTGGAATAGGTGTGAAAAATAATAATAATAATGACGAAACGGCCCTCTTATACCGGCCCTTAATGTCGTAATAACAGACCGAGACTAAGATGATGGGTCATTGTCATTTGGTATGTGTGCGGGGAATCTATTGTGCCCCTTTTTTCGTGTGTGTATAACTATCTATCCACCTCCGTATAATATATAGGGACTGTTMCGTCGCTGTAACTGTTCAATACGATTTTTCGTTTTCGAAAATCATCATCGTTAAATAACAATAATTCGATATCACGAGTATCACCTGTCACACACGCACTATAAAAGTATAAACGCACTCGGGAGGCTGAGACACAACGGTCGTCCCGCGGAAGGTGCGCAAACAATAGTGATGTGTWCCTAAGTATATTTATTAATATAATATACCTATAGCAAACAGACCGTCGACGATGACTCCTAACGACTTACATGCTTACGATGTTTGTTATATATTAGGCTCTCGTGGTTTAGATAATTTATAGAAATAACTTTTTATCTTTAACAATAATTCTTTGTGCATATTATAAACGTATAAAGCCTCATCAAATATACAGTTGAATAGGTTAACATTCTATCGATGACCGATGTCATTAAAATTATCGATACGTGTTATGTATATTTAACGATCTATATATTTAATATTATTATAATGAATTGTATATAACAGTGTACTTATATGCTGAGTAAAAAWATATAGTGACAATTTTATTTGTGCGCTGGGTGAATGTTTCCTAATTTGATTACCTTTCTTGTATAATAATTAAATCGTTAAAACATCTATACACCRTACGAGCGSTATGTGAATGGGTTTGTGATTTTAGTGCGACAGTRTAATTAAAATTATTAAACTGCGATATAAATAGTTTAAAATAAACATYTTTGACCCTGTAGAATGGTGGAATTTTACATGTGTTTACAAAATTGTTCTTAAAATAATAACAACAAAAACGTAATTGACGTTGTTAAAAGTTTGCGTGTGTTATTATTTTGTATATTATTATGGCATTTTCTGGTTAAATATACGTGGAACTATACAGCTGATATACGCCGGAAATATCATGTACAAAGGGTTAGAAATGATAGTCTTAAACTCTTATATAGGTACGCGAGATATCTGCACAGGGGAATCTGTGGCAGACGTGGAGTGTTGGCGCGCAGCCCTCGGGGTGAGATGAGACTCTGGTGAATAGTTATAAAGCCAGTTTTCGTCGATATATAATAATACATAGTATTACTATATATTTGTAGGTGTATATGTAGTATGTACGATGCGTATAATTTATACGAAAGTTCATAAAAGAAATACGAAAACACGTTTATTCCTATTAAAAAAATYGTGTACGTTGTACGAGTAGTTGAAACGGAAAAAGATCGAATATCAGATATATCTGCAGGCTGAAGCTCGGTTAATAGATGTCATCTGCAAAGATGAATTGCAAAATACGTCAAAACAGATTATTAATCAGATCTCATTAACTTGTATATATTATATATTTACATTTATAATGAAATTTAGTACTAAGAAAAAAACGGCTATAAATATATCGCTATACGACAGTGGCAGTAAGTGAAATTTATTGAACACAACAAAATAGTAATAATGCAGTACGCTGCAGAGGCGTGTGTATCGTACTTTTCGTATAATATATTATTATTATTATTTTTATTACATGTATATAAATTGTCTAATATATTTATATATATATATAACATACGCCATATTAGCGTATTATTATTATACGTACAAAGTCGACGTAGACGTAAGTCGGGGGAACAGAGTCGGTAAATTAAATTTCGTTATCCTTTGCACGTTCGCGCATCCTTTAACGCCGCCGTCGACAGAGGAATATAGGTATTAGTGTATAGTTGTGGCGTTACGCAAAAGTAATAAATTCAAATATACACATTTTATCTCTTTCTCTCTATCTCTCTCGCCTCACTACCTTCCTCTTTTGACGACGGTGACGACGGCTGCTAAAAAGTATAATCGTCTCGTACGCATCACGCAGAGGGAGAAAGATGCAGCGACGAGTCGCTTCATCAGCACCTCCGGCTGCAGCTATTTAATACACGCGGTTCAAAGGGACGCATTTTTATCGTAGCTATAATATATTGTTATTATTATTATTGCGTTTCGCGAGAATGAGACACGTCGCTTGCTCGGTTTAGACGCGTTTATTTCCGGGGTGGGCTACGTATATCATATTATAATACTATATTATAATATTACATATAAGTATATAATACTGCAGAGTCGTCGACACCGCTGCCCCCGCCACCGTTTCTGTTCTGCTCCCCGCATATCTTCTCGTCCTCCGACTATTCTTTTATATTTGACAGATTAAAATTACCCTCGTGGGGCGACCGTGACAGCAGCAGCAACAGCAGAAGCAGCCAACGTCGGAGAAACGAAAGCGCGCGTAAATACGTTTATATATATGAGGTCAGTGTCAAGTAAATGATGTCTCTTCTACCACCGCCGCTGCAAACCCCCGGCGCGTACGTTCCCCGGGGACTCGGCTGCTATGATTTATGCAAGTATATATTACGCAGCTATATTATGTGTGTAGAGGTTTCCGGATATGATGATGCGCGGCTCCTCTCGTCTTGCGGCTCCTGCGAAAACTATACACGGATATGTCATATATATATATACATAATACATGTATGCATCATACCCATAGTACCCATAGTATACACGTATAAGCTCGAGTGTAGTTTTTCAATTTATATTTCCATGAGGGATTATTCGGGGATTCGCGAAAATTGGCTGCAAAATGGTTTTACCGCGTATATATATAAGTGTATAGGTACTCGCTGTATTTATATACACGCGATCGCGTATGTGTAAGTATACATACATAAGTACCTGTTACCTGTGGTCCACCCGTCGCCCCGATGAACCTATATAACGTCCGATACCATCATAACATAGGTACCTATATGGTACAACTGTAGCCGTTCTCTGTATATAAATCTATATATACATAATGATACGATAATATAATATGTATATAATATTTAATATTATAAAATTAAATGAGTACGCACGAATAACGAAGACATCAGTCATCCACTGAACTGTGCATTTTTTTTTTTATGTCAAAATCGAATTTGGCTTTATAATAATTGCGATATAGGTAATCACCGATCCGATAAACGATATAATATACTTCTAAACGTCTTCATGCTTTTAGCGGTTGGAGGTATATCTTTAAGAGAGCATAAATTGATTAGTCCGTTTATGAATCTATAATAGGTAATACCTGTATAATGTAAAATCGGTTGTATCTAATATTGTACTTTACTGCATTATTATATTATTGTTACTTGGAACACGGAATATCGAAACTAAAAATATATAATATTATTTATCATATTCTTCATACTTTTCCCCTTCCTACGTACGTACAGGTAAACTGTAAATTTCATTACAGGCAAATGACGAATTGACTTTTTTTGCAATCTACAATATGTATAATATATATAGAGTTAGGCATAATTGTAAATGAAGTTAAGTATGTATTTTATGATGTATGCCACCATACATCATGGCATTGGTGCGTATTTTTTATTTTTGCAGTTGTTTTCGAGTGGTGAAATAAAAAGCCATCGTCGATCCTCTCCACGCCAAGCAAGCGCATTAATGCGGGGATACGTTATTATATTATAATATTACAATACATTTTCTCATGGTCTGCATTTT